CCCCCCCCCCCTTTCCCTCCTCTGCTTCCCCTCGCCTCAGGCCAGCTCTTGTGTCGGCGGCGGCTGGCGACGGCGGCGGGGACGACGATTTCCATTCCTGGGCCGGCGCCGGCGCCTGCGGCGGCGGCCGGCGGTGGCGGGGAGCGTCGACGAGGACGACGGTGGTGGTGGTGGTGGTGGGTTGTGGTGGGTGGTGGTGGCGGTGGTGGTGGTTGTGGTGGTGGTGTGGTGGTTTGTTGTGGTGGTGGTGGTTGTGGCGGTGGGTGGTGGTTGTCGTGGTGGTTTGGTGGTGGTGTGGTGGTGGTTTGTGGTGGTGGTGGTGGGTTGTGGTGGTGGTGGTGGTTTGGTGGTGGTGTGGTGGTGGTTTGTGGTGGTGGTGGTGGTGGTGGTGGGTTGTGGTTGTGGCGGTGGTTTGTGGAGGTGGTGGTGGTGGTGGTGGTGGTGCTGGTGGTGTGGAGGTTTGTGGTGGTGGTCGTGGGTTGTGCTGCTGGTAGTGGTGGTGACTCTGGCGGTGGTGGTGTGGTGTGGTAGATTGTGGTGGTGGTCGTGGTGGTAGTGGGTTTTTGTGGTGGTGATGGTGATTTGTGGTGGCGGTGGTGGTGGTTGAAGTGGTGTTGTGGTGGTTTGTGGTGGTGGTGGGTTGTGGTGGTGGCGGTGGTTTGTGGACGTTTGTTGTGGTGGTGGTGGTGGTGGTGTTGGTGGCGCGGTGGTTTGTGGTGGTGGCGGAGGGTTGTGCTGCTGGTAGTGGTTGTGGCGGTGGTGGTGGTGGTGTGGTAGATTGTGGTGGTGGTGGTGGGAATGGTGGTGGGTTTTTGTGGTGGTGGTGGTGATGGTGAGTTGCGGTGGTGGTTGTGGTGGTGGTGGTGGCTGTGATGGTGGTGGTGGTTGTGTGGTGCTGTTGGTGGTGGTGGTGGTGGAAAATCCCCCCTTCCCCACGGCGCCAGGGGGCGGGGGGTTGAACTCCCCCCCCCACCCCCACCCTTGAGCTGCCTCTGGTCATCGTCGCTGCGCTCCCGCCATGGGCGCTGCTAGCGGCCGCCAGCGCCGGCGCCGGCGCCGGCGCCGACGGGGGGGGAGTTTGAACCCCCCCTTTCCTTCGGAGGAGGGGGATTCGGGAGGGGGGGGTTTGGGGGGGAGGGGATTCCCCCCCGGTTTTGATCGACGGCGCCAAGTGTTGGGGGGGGGGGGGGCACCCGAAAGGGAGAAAATTCACTCTATTTGACTTGGGGTCGTTCTTGCTTGTTTGCGTTTCTTTCTCTGTCTCCGTCTCTTTTCTGTTTTCCGTTTCTCTCTCTCTCTCTCTCTCTTTCTCTCTCTCTCTCTCTCTCTGTTTCTCTTTCTTTCTCCTTTTCTTTCTCCATAAATTGGATCCTGTGGCGGATTACAATTCGATTAAATTGTAATCCTCCCAAAAGGAGTTCCATTTGAAGCCCAAGGCCAGAGGCCCAGGAGGATACCAGGGAAAAAAAAAAAAAAAGTGAAAACAACAAAAACAAAAAAAACAATATATATATATATATATGTATATATATATATATGTATACATATATATATATAAACAAAAAACAACAAACAAAAAAAAAAGCTGAGACTCTCTGCGGTTTTCAAATCCACGACCAGAATACAATTAAAATCAAGTCTATTCTGGTCGTGGATTTGAAAAACGCAGAGAATCTCAGTTTTTTTTGCTTTTTTTGTTGTTCCCTCTTTTTTTTTGCTTTTTTTTTGTTCTTTTCCCTGGTATCCTCCTGGGCCTACCCAGGGCCAGAGGCCCAGGAGGATACCAGGGGGAAAAAAAAAAAAACTGAGACTCTCTGCGATTTTCAAATCCACGACCAGAATACACTTAGAATAAATTATATTCTGGTCGTGGATTTGAAAAACGCAGAGAATCTCAGCTGTTTTTGCTTTTTGTTGTTTTTTCATTGTTTTTTTTGTTTTTGTGTTTTCTTTTTTTCCCTGGTATCCTCCTGGGCCTACCCAGGGCCAGAGGCCCAGGAGGATACCACGGGAAAAAGAAAAAAAAAAAAAAAAAGGCTGAGACTCTCTGCGATTTTCAAATCCACGACCAGAATACAATTAAAATCAAGTATATGCTGGTCGTGGATTTGAAAAACGCAGAGAGTCTCAGCTGTTTTTGTTTTTTTGTTTGTTTGTCATTTTTTTTTTTTTGTCCCTGGTATCCTCCCGGCCCTACCCAGGGCCAGAGGCCCACGAGGATACCAGGGGAAAAAAACAAAAAAAACATGGAACAACAAAAAATCAAAAACAAAAAAAACTGAGATTCTCTGCGATTTTCAAATCCACGACCACAATACAATTACAATCAATTATATTCTGGTCGTGGATTTGAAAAACGCAGAGAATCTCAGCGTTTTTTTGTTATTTTTTTCTGTTTCAATGTTTTTTTGCTTTTTTTGTGTTTTTCCCTGGTATCCTCCTGGGCCTACCCAGGGCCAGAGACCCAGGAGGATACCAGGGGAAAAAGGAACAAAACAAAAAAAAACAACAAAAAAAACAAAAAAAAAAAAAAAAAAAGCTGAGACCCCCTGCGTTTTTCAAATCCACGACCAGAATATAATTAAAATCAAGTATATTCTGGTCGTGGATTTGAAAATCGCAGAGAGTCTCAGTTTGTTTTGCTTGTTTTTTCTGCCTCAGGTTCTGGGTCTCGTGCAGTGTAATCCCTCACCCTCCCGCTCCCTCGCCCTCTCGCTTTCCCGCTCGCCCACTCCGGGCGCGAGAAGGAGGAGGAGGAGGAGGAGGAGGAGGAGGAGAAGGAGGAGGAGGAGGATGAGGAGGAGGAGGAGGAAGAGGAGCAGGAACATTGATTTTCCGTAGGTTGTTGACGGGTGTTGACGTTTCCTTCTTTTCGGCCTTCCGACGGCCCGAGACGGCCCAAGAGCCCCCACATATCGCCGAAAGATCGCCCAAGAGGCCTCCAAGAGGTCTTCCAGACGCCCACGTGTTCCCCGAAGGCTTTTCAAACCGATTCGGGGAACACATGGTCCGATGGCTTGGCAGGTCTGGCCTCAACGTTCGGCCACACAAGACGGCCATGATGACCTCCAAGACGGCCCCAGATGGCCTCCAAGTCCGCCCAAGATGGTCCAAGACGGCCTCCAAGAGGGCCTCAGAGAGTCCAAGACGGCCCAAGACGGCCCAAGACGGCCCAAGAGGCGGCCCAAGAGGCCTCCCAGACGGCCCAAGAGGCCCCCAAGAGGTCTTCCAGGAGGGCCCGAAGAGGCCAAAATCATTGAGTTTCCTTAGGTGTTTGAAAGATTTTGGAATTTGTTTCTTCTCGGCATTTAGACTGCTCCAGACGGCCCAAGAGGCCCCCAAGATCGCTCAAGAGGCCCCCAAGAGAGCCCCATGACGGCCCAAGTGGCCTCCAAGATGGCCCCAAGAGGGCCCCAAGACTGCCCAAGAGACCTCCAACACGCCCAAGATAGCCTCCAAGACGCCCAAGATGGCCTCCAAAACGGCCCCGAAGCGCCCCAAGAGGGTCCCCCGTTGGCCCAGAAAGGCCCCCAAGACTGCTCCCGACGGCGTCAGACGTGCCAGGAATCCACCAGGATGGCCGAAGCTGGCTCGAAGCTAGCCCAAAAGGGCCCAAGAGGTCCCAAAGAGGGCTTCCAGGAAGGCCAAAAGAGGCCAAAAGCATTGAATATTCGTAAATTTTTTAACGGATTTGAGATGTCCTTCTTTTCTGCCTTCCGACGGCCCGAGACGGCCCAAGAGCCCCCAAAGATCGCCGAAAGATCGCCCAAGAGGCCTCCAAGACGGCCACGATGACCTTCAAGGCGCCCACGTGTTCCCCGAAGGCTTCTCAAACCGATTCGGGGAACACTCCAAGATGGCCTCCAAGATGGCCAAGCTGGCCCAAGATGGCCTCCAAGATGGTCCAAGATGGCCTCCAAGTCCGCCCAAGATGGCCCAAGACGGCCTCCAAGACAGCCCAAGAGAGTCCAAGACGGCCCAAGACGGCCCAAGAGGCCCCCCAGAGGCCTCCCAGACGGCCCAAGAGGCCTCCAAGAGGTCCCCCAGGAGGGCCCGAAGAGGCCAAAATCATTGATGTTCCTTAGGTGTTTGAAAGATTTTGGAATTTGTTTCTTCTCGGCATTTAGACTGCTCCAGACGGCCCAAGAGGCCCCCAAGATCGCCCAGGAGGCCCCCAAGAGGGCCCCATGACGCCCCAAGTGGCCTCCAAGATGGCCCCAAGAGGGCTCCAAGAAAGCCCAAGAGGCCTCCAACACGCCCAAGATGGCCTACAAGACGCTCAAGATGGCCTCCAAAACTGCCGCGAAACTCCCCAAGAGGGTCCCCCGATGGCCCAGAAAGGCTGAACGGGCTCGTGACCCACAGGATGAGCGCATTCCTTGGTGTCCATTGTCCAGAGGAAGAGGAGGAGGAGGAGGAGGAGGAGGAGGAGGAGGAGGAGGAGGAGGAGGAGGAGGAGGAGAAGGAGGAGGAGGAGGAGGAGGAGGAGAGGGAGGAGGA